AGTTTTATAAAAAAATGAAAGAGGAACTTGTCCCGGCCCTGGAAGCTTTATCCAACGACATACGGATGTGCAAGAAAGTGCCAGACTCATGGAAAGAGGCAATCATTTCATTGATACCAAAGGAAGGCCAAGAACTAACGAATGTAAAGAACTACAGGCCAATTTCTCTCCTAAATAATGACTATAAGATCTTTGCAAAAATTATTGCAGAAAGAGTGAAAAACTACTTACAAACAGTGATTTCAGAAGATCAAGCGGGCTTTCTGCCAAAAAGACAAATTCGAGATAATGTAAGAATAGTAATGGACGCAGTGGAATACTATGAAAAGCACCCTGAAAAAGAGGTAACTTTTTTGTTTGTGGATGCGGAAAAAGCATTTGACAATCTTAATTGGAAGTTTATGTTACAGATGATGGAAAAAATTGATACGGGACAACAGTTCAGAAATTGTATTGAAGCTATCTATTCGGAACAAAGAGCTACACTGAATGTAAATAAAGAATTGACCGATAGCTTCAAGGTACAGAAAGGTACTCGGCAGGGTTGTCCCTTGTCACCGCTATTGTTCATTTGGGTGTTGGAGGTACTTTTACAAAAAATACAACAAGATCAAGAGATTAAGGGTTTGACACATAAAGGTTTTAAATATAAATACCGTGCTTTTGCAGATGACGTAATGTTTATTGTGGAAAACCCGACGGAAGAGTTACCGTTACTATTTCAAAAAATAAAAGATTTTGGAGAATTGGCAGGATTTTATGTAAACAAGAATAAAACGAAGCTTATTTGCAAAAATATGACGAAACAAAAACAAGTGGAACTACAAAATTTGGTACAATGTGAAGTGGTAAAGAAGACGAAATACTTAGGCATTGAGTTAACTGCAAAGAATATAGACTTATATAAGAACAATTATGAAAAACTATGGGCTAAGTTAACCCAAGACTTTAAGAAATGGGACAAAATGAACTTGTCACTGATGGGAAGAATTTCAGTTATAAAAATGAATGTCCTACCACGTTTGATGTTCCTGTTCCAAACAATACCAATACTTAGTAAGACAGATTTGCTGCAAAGGTGGCAACAAGAACTATCAAAGTTTGTTTGGGCAGGCAAGAAACCGAGAATTAAGATGAAAATACTTTGTGATGCCAAGGACAGAGGTGGACTACAGCTACCAAATCTCAGATTATATTATGAAGCGGTTTGTATGACCTGGTTGAAGCAATGGGTGAAATTAGAAAATGATAAGCTATTGGGGTTAGAAGGTCATGATTGTAGATTTGGTTGGCATGCATATTTATGGTATGACAAAACAAAAATGGATAGCTTTTTTAAGCATCATGTGGTAAGAAAAGCATTATTTGTGGTATGGATGAGATATAAAAAATATTTTGGTGATGTAAGGCCACTTTGGATTGTACCAGTGGAAGTGTTAACATCTTACTCAAGACGTAGAGACAAAGATTGGTTGCTGTATAAAGACATAATAAAAAAAGAGGGAACAGAATGGGTAATGAAAAAGCAGAATGAAATTGAATATGAATATGAATGGTTGAAATACATGCAGATCTCTGACCTTTTTAGGTCAGACAAAAGAAATTATGGTTTTAGAGAGGAAAAAAATGAAATGGAAAAGGTATGGGAGAGTGGAGGGGGAAAAGATATCTCTAAAATGTATAAAGTGTTGTTAAAATGGTATACAGAAGATGAGACTGTGAAAGAGCAAATGTTAAAATGGGCAATAAATATGAATAAGGAAATTGACATAGAAACCTGGGAATATTTGTGGAAAAATGCTATTAAAATATCACCCTGTACCAATGTTAGAGAGAATTGTTACAAAATGATGTATAGGTGGTATATGACCCCAAAGAAAATTGCAAATATGAACCAGAATATGTCAAATAAATGTTGGAAATGTAAAAAACATGAGGGCTCATTTTACCATATGTGGTGGACTTGTGAAAAAGCTACACTCTTTTGGACAAAAGTCCACAAAGAAATGCAAAAAATACTTAAGTGCTCTTTCAAGAAAGCGCCTGAAATTCTGCTTTTGGGACTAAAAATGGAAGAAGTTAACTCGACTAAAAGGACTTTATTCTGGTACCTTATTACAACAGCGAGGATGATTTATGCACAATTTTGGAAGACTGAGAAAGTACCAGAAATCGAAGACTGGATACAAAAAGTTCTGTTCATGGCAGAAATGGATAAAATTACAAAGAAGTTGAATAATCAAGAAGACAACGTGTTTTTTCAAGAATGGAATGACTTTAAAATATATCTGGAAAAGAACTGGGATGTAAAACAAAACTTAATATGTTTAGATCAATATTAAGTCAAATGATGTTATCTTGAGGTTGGATGATAACAAATGATGTGTTAATGATATAATGAAATTTGTAAGAAGGGGGAGAAGCATTGCGGGAAGCCACTGGAGGGAGGGGAGGAAGGGAATGAGGTAAACAATGGACTGAATGATTTAATCTTATATGTTATGTTCCTAAGAAAATAAAAATTTGTTTACCAAAAAAAAAAAGATTCCAAGGACTCGCATTAATGAAAACATTCTTCAGAATAAAAGGGCATTATCCATGGTGGAACTTTTTTAACTTCCAAAGCTCTTTGATATTAGCATCAATACAACTGTGTGCTGATCAGTGTTCAACAGTATTTGCTTATTTCTAAAATAACAGATTAACAGAATGAAGAGCTTTAAACTGTACGGCTTTGTATCTGTTACCATCCAACATGCAACACTTGGAGCCAGTCTATTTAGAAATATCACATACACACAGTTCTCAGGAGGATACAATACCTCAGAATTTATGGGGCGAAAGAAAGGGGTCCCATAAATCAATGCTCCCTGAAGTTAAGAAATCGCCTAGCACAGCTAACATATGTCTAGGTTAGAATCCTTGTTGATATTTCCCCACCTCCTAACTGGGGCAGGGGTTGCTATAAGGCAGCAAGAAATCAGAGATCCTCCACATGCCATCTGAAATGGTTCAGTCTATGAAGGACTGGACCAGATTACATTTCTGAATATGAATGATTTATGAAGCAGTATTAACTAAGAGACTTATAATTTTGAGTAAGCTAGGTCCTACAAAGGAGTCTAAAGAACAATTGCCATAAGAGGAGAAGAAGAGATTGGATTTATACTCCGCCCTGCACTACTTGAAGGAGTCTCAGAGCGGCTTACAAACTCCTTTCCCTTCCTCTCCCCACAACAGACACCCTGTGAGGTAGGTGGGGCTGAGAGAGCTCTGACAGAAACTGCTCTTTTTCAAGAACACCTCTGACATAACTATTCGAGGTCACACCAGCAGCTGCATGTGAAGGAATGGGGAATCAAACCCGGTTTTCCCAGATAAAAGTCCACACTCTTAACCACTACACCAAACTGGTGTAGCAGGGACAACCTTCCTAAATCAGACTTCAGCTACAGACTGAATGAATTCCATACCTATGCTTGTTAGTAATGGATGGTTAAACAGCAATAACTTGTAATGTATTATGTTTTGTTATGTTTATAATATTCTGTAAACCAAACACTTAAGAAAAAGAAGCTGGAGGACAAGGAAGTAATCAGTTCCCAGGGCTACACAGATCTCATTTAACCTGGTAAGAAGTCAACTGGATCTTTCCCAAGATCCAGAGGAATTGCTTACGGGTTTCAAAATGTATATCCATCTCCTTTGCCCTACTCTTCTTTGAGTACTCGTTCTTCCCAGGAAGCCAATCCATCTCACTTTATATACAACTTTACCTAAACCCCCAATGTTACACCATTAGGCTCTCTCCTCCTCCTCCTCCTGACCTTCTCCTCACAGCACACACCACAGGTACCTGCAGTATAATCCTGAACACAGTTAAACCCTTCTAAGTCCACTGGCTTCAATGGTCCTAGAAGACTGGAACTCTGCTCATGATTGCATTGTTGGTGGTGATGGCAGTACCAATATGAAAATTTACCAGCTTCTATTTTAATAGATGTAAGGACAGTTTACTGACCATAATAGCACTGAGTGGCAGCAGGTTAAAAATAGGCTCAGGAAGTTCAGGACCATTAGAGTAATTGCAGAGAACAGCAAAAACAAACAAAACCAGGAATGAAATGCACTTACTTTGCTGATATTCTGTCCTGGGGGCAGGGGAAGAGGGCAAGAAGGTAGCAGCATTTGTACACGCAAATCATGTACCAGTTTGGTGTAGTGGTTAAGTGTGCGGACTCTAATCTGGGAGAACCGGGGTTGATTCCCCACTCCTCCACTTGCACCTGCTGATGTGACCTTGGGTCAGTCACAAGCTCTGGCACAGCTGTTCCTGAAAGAGCAGTTTGTGTCAGAGTTCTCACAGCCCCACCCACCTCACAGGGTGTCTGTTGTGGGGAGGGGAAGGGAAAGGAGTTTGTAAGCTGCTCTGAGACTCCAAGTGAAAGGTGGGGTATAAATCCAATCTCCTCCTCCTCCTCCTCCTCCTCCCCCTCCCCCTCTTCTTCTTGTTGTTGACCTGAGCACAGAATCATCCATGGCAGTAATTAAAGAAGAGGCCTAGGTTCTGACTACCTTCTGGTCAAAATATACAGGCTTGCAGGAAACACTATGCCATTTTTGGTGACAAAATTTCATCCAAAAACAACTTGCCATTCCAAGTGCTAAAGTATTTACCAACCCCCCTCTGAGGCTTTTACACACTGTGCTGTGTAATGTTCATGTCTAACAATCAGCCATTTCTAACTACTCCGTCCAAACATATTCTCAAGAATGAGGTGCAGAAATGTTTGAAAACAGGAAACCTCCCATTTCAATTTCCTTCAAATACTTAATATTTTCCTTTGGGGAAGTAACAGGTGGTTTATTGTAATGATCTCTATTTGCTTTCTGGAACAAGACTCATGCTCTTCAATTATTTTTAGGTGATTGTGCAATTACTGGCGAGAATAGGTTTTGGTTATTCTGCGTTCAGTTTTCTACTAAGATTTCAAGCTTACCTTCAGGTGAAGAACTTGGCTTATGAGAACATGCAGAGCTTTTTTTGCTGCTTTCACTGCTGACAGACAAGCTGGACTGAATTTTTTGGTGCATTTTTTGGGAAACTGGTGCTGAGAATTTTCTACTATCTTTTGCTACAAGTTTGACTCCATTGTGAATTCCACTTCCATTACTCAGACCTGCATGACCATTTTGTGTTCTGCCAATTTCTTCCTTGTGCTTTTCAAGTGGCAAAGCATTTGGCCGCGGCAAACGTTCAGGCTGGCCTTTAAAGAGAAGGAGGGGAAAAGTTAAAGTTGTAAAGTTTATGCAGAACCAAAGTATTTATTTTGTTTAGTCAGTGAACACAGAGCTAGATTCTTAAAAAGTAAACTTTGCATACGGTGATTAGCTCAGTGTTCATCTAATCCCCATTAAGTCTGACCCTTCTGATTCAGCTTTATCATGCAACAGCCCACAGCTTCAATGGTGCCCCAAACCTGCACAGAAATTTTCTGTGGGAGCCAGCCAAGGGCTCCTTGTAGGGGAGGGCCTCTCGAATGCCCCTGTCCAAACATATTTACTTGGTAGTAACTTTATACCCCATTCATTCCAGGTTAAAAACTGCATGAAGATCTTTGGTGCACTTTAGTTGCTTAATTTTGTCTTCTGGATCTTATTTATTTTCATACTACTGCATCTTTAAACTTTTTTTTTGATTGATGTAGTTTTGTACAAACTTAACTTCTTGTATAGACATTTTGGACATCAATATGATGGCAAGGTGGTACTCATACTTCTTAAAAATAAACTGAAGGTTTTACAAGGTCAACAGTCACACCAATTACTTCATAGCAATCTCTCCTTATATATAATTGAGTAAGAACATTCTAAATCTGGCCCCTTTAGTGTATGGACGCTTGAACTGTCAGTCAGAAGACGCTGGCTAGGTTGACTGGCTGCTTTGTGCAGTCCCGCCCAGCATTTCAAGGTCTTTTGCATAAGGAAGCTGATTGGACTTCACTCCATTCCACACCTCATACTCTCCCCCCGCAAGGCAGTTGGAATTTTCAGTTGCATAGACAGATACAATGCCATACTCCCCACCCTACTGTATTCTGAGGTAAAATATGTCCTCACTCAGAACACATCACTTCCCCTTCAAAAGAAACAAACCCAATAACACAATCATGCCACA